ATATATATATATATATATATATAATAGTTAATTAATTAACCAAACTTAAATCACTTCAGGTAATAGTTTTTTAGCAAATATAATAATGTGTTTAATAACACTAATTTATAGCTATTTGAAAAAAAAAGATATAAAATGATATTGTTAAATTTAGAGGTTTGGAGAGAGAAAAGGCTTCATTCTATTATGTAAAATTATTCATATGTATAGATCTATATAAAATATCTTAATAAAGAAATAAATAATTATGGAATAATGCATAATTTCCCTAATATAATCCTTCATAAATTAGCCACCCAAATATAGAAGCAGATCGGCGTGATCCAGGTGAGCTTCTCATAGGCTCAAGGGCCAAGAGACGGTTGAGATTTTAATATTCCCCCTCAAGTTGGTGAATAAAGATTTGTCATTCCCAGCTTGGTAATTAGTCCTAGAAAAGTAGAGTTATCAAGTCCTTTAATGCACTATAGAATCCTCCATTTGATCAAAACTTTGGGAGAAATTAGCTTTCGACATTGCGGTGACGAAGGATAGCAATGAAAGCTATATTAAGCAGGGCAGCAATGAGGCTACATTGGTTATAGATAGGATATCAACCATAAGAGAAGGCCAAAAATGAAGGTACGATAGTAGGAAAAAAAATCTGTTTTTAGAGTTGCGACAAGTTTTAAGGACACGGTAGAAAAACATGTCTCAAGCAGTCAGCACTTGACACACAAATCTCCTCCCGTTCAATCGAGCCAGCCTTCAGCCCAATGCAAATCAGTCGTTCGACTCCACCTAAGCACTCCTGCTAGATCGACCCCGTACAGGCGCACTCAAGCTCTCTAATCTCTCCTGTCTGATCACAGGAAGGAGTGTAGATCTTGCACTCTTGCTTGTCCCAGCCATAGACCCTCACGAGAGGTCCTGCACTTAACTTCTCTCGCTTCTGCTCGGTCGACTCTGGACGTTGCATCATTGCATGCGAGAGAGCCCTCCTGCTCGATCTCTTTTCGGTCTTGAAATCACGAAGGAAGCAAAATGATTAGTATTCCTCAGAATTACGTCAATGAAGGCCGGTGGTGGGAACTTGTATTCCTCATAATTTCGGCAATGAAGGCTGGTGATGGAAACCTGTATTCCTCAGAATTTTGGCAATGAAGCCCGATGGTGAGAACCTATATTCCTCATAATTCAGACAATGAAGGCTGGCGGTGGGAACCTGAAGAACTAGGAAGTGCCAACTCCTTCAAGGTAGATAAAGTGCTTCTAATCTCTTTGTTGCCTCACCCTTAATATCAACAATTGACTCCATACTCAGGGAGATATCGTACTTCACCATCTGTGTGACCATCTTCCCTAGTGTGCACATTGTCTGGGTAACTCCACATATCAGGATTGTTCCATCGATGAGCTTCGGATCTAGCGATTTGACATCAGTGCAAATCATACCAGCAATGTTCTCACTAACGATTCCATCAGCGACAGTGAAGATGGCGAGAATGTGGGTTACAAAGTAGCATTTGCCCGATTTGAGGGATTTATCCCAGCGGCGGAGATCTTGGGAGAGGTCGACTTCTTTTGCTCTTTAGAAGGAGGCTTCGACCTTTTTGTATATCTCTTAGATCTGAGGGTAATAGATCATTAACAAGCATAAGTAGTTGGGATTTGGGGCAAGGAGGGGCTCTTCGTGTGGAGGATTTGTTGGCATGTTCAGTAGCTCTTCAACCACTCGTTTCTTGCTCGGTTCGGCTCCAGCACACGCATGAGGGTCGATCATCCCTGCTCAGGCACACATGCATGCAGTTCCTGCTCGCTCTCTCTCTTGGTCATCTTCTTCACTCAGTTCAACCCCTAGGTAGGCATGCACGAGAGGGGTCTCGTGTGCCTTTTTTAGCCACACGCAAAAGACCGGAAGGGGAAGCCCTCTCGCTTGCTTGGCTGCTCTGGACGTTTGCGAGTAGGAAGCAGAATGTAAGAACCGGCTCGCCCTGGATCGCACGTAGCGTTGAGCGCAATCCCTCTCAATCTCTCCCAGACACACACGCAGAACGAACAAGAAGTGGCTAGCTCCAGTGAAATAGAATGGAGAACTAATGATTAAATGACTACAAGAAATAGTGATAAGAAGCACACGATTGTGCTTAGTTGTTGTGATAGATGCATGAAATTTGAACCAAGATTTCTCTATGAGCAGGAAATAAACCTACATCACTTTGATGCAACGTAGAGAAGTGGTGTAACTCGTGCACTTTATTGCAACCTTGTGCTTCATAAGCAAGTGATGTGTAGGGCTAATGCATCACTTTGTTTTGCTTCTAAAATGCGCTTTGAAGCACACTATTAACAATACTATTTGGTATGAATAAATCAATGATAATTTCTTAAGAAAAGCATAAAGCTGTCCCTTGCCCTCTTTTTGGTGCTAAAATAATGATTGCATGCTAGTATTTATTGGGCTTATCTTTTTATTATTTATTTATTTATTAGGTTTATTTAGATGCATATTCGGTCTTATATTAGGGTATTATAGGCCTACCTGAAAAATTTTATATATTTCAAACCCATGTAGCTGTATTGATGGGAAACACTGCTTACATTATATATTTATAATCTACATGCATGCCGAAACTGAAGAACGACCTTGTGGTTCCCTATTTGTGAGGTGTTGGGCAAGTTTGCTCTCTTTAGGCCAAAGCTTGGCTCTCTGAAGGGTGTTTTCTTTCTTTGGCCTTCAACAATAGATGCAAGAAAGTTATAATTTCTACACCCTAGTCAAGTTATTTTTGAGTTAATGTCACTACAAAATAATTTGTGGTTTAATTTAGATATGAAAAAGTGACCTTACTGTTGTGCGTTTACATAGGAAAAAATAAGTTGTTTAATTATTGAGGAATGGGATGATAGGTTTTGGCATCTGATGAACCATGATTGGAGATGAAATGAAATAGTTGATTTAGCTGAAAGGTTGAAAGAATATGGATGGTGTGTGAAGGGAGGGCAACGTGAGTTGGAGTATACCAAATGTGTTATAGAGTGACCATAAGCCAACTACTAGAAGTAAATATATATAGTAAATGGTTCACCCATCATCAAACTCAATCATTGATCCCCTTTGACCATAGAGATGATTGGATTGTGCTTGCACTTGACTCATTGACTGACATTGGCTACTCGTTATGGACAAATGTAGCCACCAACAACTAAAGGAGGGTCTTCTCCATACACAAAGATCACTACTTTATGATGTTCAACCCTACAAAAATAAGTTGTTTAATTATTGAGGAATGGGATGATTGGTTTTGGCATCTGATGAACCATGATTGTAGATGAAATGAAATAATTGATTTAGCTGAAAGGTTGAAAGAGAATGGGATAGTGTGTGAAGGGAGGGCAATATGAGTTGGAGCATACCAAATGTGCTGTAGAGTGACCATAAGCCAACAACTAGAAGTAAATAAATATAGTAAATGGTTCACCCACCATCAAACT